GTTGTTGTTTATAAACACTTGAAAAGAAATACATAAGTATTGAATAAATTGAAAAACACTTAAGAAATTTATGCAATCTCATAAAAAGTGGACAAGACCACCACTGAGAACATACCTGGAGTGAGGCTGCTCAGCTGTGCTGTATCACAAGAACATTCAAAAAGAGATTACATAAATCATGGTAAAAATCTTCTAAAATTCTGTAACCTTTAATCCTTGCCAATGAACTTGCTCACTTGAATGCAATTTATTTAAGGGCAACCCAAGAGAGGGGGCAAACAGAATTGTTTTATTTTTTGCTTTTTGTTATATAGAACAGTTGGAGATCACTTGCTTGTGTAGTATTCATAATTTGGGCATCATCTCACCCTTCCCTCCCTGTTATTTCCATTACTGGGGAGGAAAACACAGAAAACAGTAAAAATAACACTTGATTGAATAAGACACAAGACAATTCTTAGTGGCACTGCAGCTGCTGGACTTTGTTCTAGTGAGTAACCACAATGTTCAGCTAAAATACATAGAAAAATATGTTACACCTGGAGATTAGTTGTCTTTGTCACAGAATGTTCAATGCTGCTGAGGTTTGACATGGGCAAAGCTTGGCTGAACTCCAGTTGTGCTCCTGGGGTGAGAAGGGCCAAATTCTACACCCAGAGCCAGGAGAGCCCTGTCTGAGCCCGCTGCTCCAGCCAGCTGTGTTCCTCCAGGAAATGCTCTTCCCATGGATTGGATGCACAGCAAAGGGGCCAGACTCTGGGACAAAACAAAGCCAAGCTCCTGTTCACTGTCCCATCTTTGCTGGAGCCTCCTGTGACACCTCTGTGTCTTCCCCCACGTCTACTTTGAAGTTTAAGCAGCACCTGCTGGTGAAAACAAAGGCTATGGAAGTGCTGAGCCATCCTCCTGGAAGAACAGGTTTCATCATTACTCTGAGCTCTGGATAAGTTGTTCTAGAATGGAATAAGCTGGGCTATCACTCTTTGGAGTAATTTTGTCAAGGTGAGGGCTGGCTCATTCCCAGCTCTGTGTGCTGAAGGCTGAATGTGACCCAACTGAGCTCCACCAGTTTGGGAACTTTCAGTGGCTAAACTTTGGACTTGCAGATTAAATCCATTGACAGCATTAGTTAAGACTGTATCTTCCCACTCACTAGAAAAATGGTTATTTTGTATAGTAGAAACCCCAATGTTACTGTTCATGTGAATTGATTTTTGAAAAAAAGAAAACAGGGAATAAAACTGGAATGCCCTGAGTTGAGGAACACGTTCCACCACATACCATCTCAGGTAATTATGCAGGAGGAAGTGTCACTTGTGTGTGATATCTGTAAGTGAAGCAGTGTCTGTTTGAAATAGTGCTGCTGTCAGAGACAACAAGGGAACTTCCCTAGTTTGGTATTGGGAAGAGAAGGATTAGACTGTAATGATTTCCCTTCTCTGTGATAACTGAATGCAATATAAAGTCAAGTACCTGACAAAGGGTACTTGAAAAGAAATTTTACCTTTCTTTCAGTTTAAAGCCAAAATCGACTTGGCAGTGCAGGGCCATGGTCAAAATGTGTGACCAGTACCAATTCCAAAATGCAAGAACTAGCCACTCAACCTCAGAACCTTGCCACAAACCAGGTAATTGAATTACATTACATGATTTTTAGTAAAACTAAAGGAGGGGAGATTTAGATTAGATGGTAGGAGAAAATTGCCTATAGTGAGGGTGGTGAGGCCCTGGCACAGGGTGCCCAGAAAAGCAGTGTCTGCCCCATCCCTGGAAGTGCCCAAGGCCAGGCTGGATGGGGCTGGGAGCAGCCTGGGGTAGTGGAAGGTGCCCCTGCCCATGGCAGAGGGTGGCACTATATGGTCTTTAAGGCCCCTCCCAACCCAGGCCATTCTGTGATTTCACAATTTTTAATGTATAAAGTATTTAACATTCATAAGAGTACTGGAAGGTGGCCAAAGCAGCACAGTGTGAGTATGTTAACATTTCTCCTCACGAAAATGGACCTGAATCATCTGTTAGACCCCACATTTTCCTGACAAAATAAAGCATAATAAGTCACCACTACTTGACAGATGCAGATAAGAGGAATGGTGCTGACTGGAAACACCATTTGAAGGCTAACCAGCAAATGGAAAAAACAGGAATTCTGCAGTGTTCAATCCTGCACAGTATTTATCTGGATAAGTAATAAAACTATTCGCAATTCCAAAATATTTTCTATAATAAGAAATTTTTTTTTCATGGTAATGGATGTTCTTTTATACCAGAAATAGGCTAGATACTTCATCAAATGGTTTGTTGTCCCTGGGCCTCCTGTAGTGATAGGACGGGTGCATGGTGCTGCAGCGGAGTTACAAAAGCTGTACTATTTTAATGCGGAAGGATGTGGTTTGGGGTTGGTTAATACACATTGCTTGACATATTTACAAGTGTCAGATTGTGTTCTCTGTTTATAAGACTTGTGCCAAAAGGAAGGGGAGTAACATGGGCCAAAGTACTTCCCTGATTGCGGGTGCCAGGATGTAACAAGCAGTTTGAAGGCTGTGACACTTGGACTGAATAAATTACAATTGTAACTGAACATTAATAATTTTTATTTGAAAACATTTCTCCTCACAGTACAGGCCCAGTCTTTGCAAGACAGAATTCCTGCTCGGTGTGGCAAGGAAGGGATTGGATGGATGATGGATTTGTCAGAGGAAACACACACACAGTAAGGACTCTGAGCTGGGTGGAACTTTTCTTTTGGCTTAAATTCTGTGTCTTAGTCTGTGTACGTAATTCAGGTAAATGTGATGCCTGTTTGTGGGAGAGATTTGTTCCTATGAGGTAAATCCAAACAAACTCCAGTCAGCCATTGCAAGAGATGCTAATCTTAATTTATTGCCAAGAAAAGTAAATTGCAAAAAAGACACTTAAATGAGATTAAAATCACGATAAGGAAAGCTGCCATTGAGCACAGAGAGAGAACTTTTTCCACTGAGTCACATCATTGAAAATGTTCTGCATTTCTGTATTAAAGCTTGAGCTGAAATGCTCCATATCTTCACCTGTTAAACGCAATATTTGCTTTCTACCACCTGTGGAATTCTTCAGTCAGGAGAAACTCAGGCAGGTGAGCCTAAATCTGCTCCCACTGGTTCAAATCAATGGGTCATTACAAACAGTAAAAACATTATTTGTGATGAATTATCTCCTTTAAACCAAGTATCTTCTTCTTGCATGGTGCTGACTTAAGAGATGCACTCCACAATCCTTGTGGGCCCCTGGCAACTCAGAATAATCTGTGGCTCTTCTCCAGACCATAATTATTTTGGGAATGAATTTTGTTTATCTAACTCAGGTGTTTTCGAACCCCCTTTAAAAAAAAACTATTATAGAGTTTTTGGAGCCACCCAAGCTCTTCGAAGTTATTTCAGGTGAGCACGGGCCGGGTCCAAGGCTGTGCAGGATGTGGGGTTAAACTCGGCTGTGAAGGGGAGCTCGGTTTGCCTTGATACTGCAGTGACCACGGACGAGTTTTAAGGCCTTTTAAATATTACTTTGAGCACTCTCAGGGGCTGGGGAAACCCTCCGGTGATCCGCGGAATGGCCGGGATCAGGATTCCCCCGTGACTGGCACCCTGAGAGACTTCCCTTAGGCGGGCGGGACACGGTCCCCGTGCCACAGAACATCCCGAGGTGGAAGGGACCCACCAGGAGCACCCAGTGCAGCTCCTGGCCCTGCCAGGGCCACCCCAAAGATCCCCCGGGTGCATTCCTGAGCGTTCTCCGAGTGCGCCGGGAGCTCTGGCAGCCTCGGGAGCCTGGGCAGTGCCCGAAGAAAACCTTGCCCAAATGTCTGTGTAGCCCGTTTGCTCTTTTTGCTTTTCCTTGATGGGTAAAAAGACAATTCTCTCTGGTTCAGAGACAGTAAATAGTAACTTCCCTTATCCGGTTCTTTATGTATTTGGGAAAAGAAAAAAAAAAAAAAAAAGAAGCTCCTTTGGTAAACTTGTAACATCACAATGAGAAACTGTTTCACCTTTTTCAGTAAGACACTGGTTTTCTTATGTCCTGGGGCACTTTGCGACTTTCGAGCGGTCCCCGGGGAGCCCGTTCAGAGTCCGAGCATCCTCCTGGGGGAGAACCTGGCGCTGCTGTCCCGCCTCCTGCCCGGCCCGGGCCGTTCCGGGCTCTGGCAGCGATCCCGGGCCGAGGGTCGGGACCCGACCCGGGACCCCCCGGCCCCGCCGCTCCCGAGCGCCCCCGGCGGGCGGCGGGGGCAGCGCAGCGGCGGCGGGAGGCGCCCCGGCGCCGGGGCCCCGCCCCCGGGCCCGTATCACGTGGTGCGGCGGCGACCAATGGCGCGGCGCGGTGCGGGCCCGGGCGCCATTGCTGTCAGAGCGCAGGAGGCAGAGCGGGCGCGGAGCTGCGGCCGCTGCGGGCACGGCCGGCACAGCGCGGGCGGACAGCGCTCCCTGCCCGGGCCGGGCCGCGCCCGCACCGCCGTCACCCCGCGGGCAGCGCCGACGAGGCGGCGGCGCCGGCAGCAGGAGCGGGAGGAGGAGGAAAACACCATCCACGCACAGCCAGCGGCGGCAGCAGCGAGGGGCGGCCGGGCGGGGCGGGGAGGGGACACAGCGCCCCCCGCCCGCCGACGCCTCCGCACGGGGCCGGGACCGGGACCCCCCCTCGTCTCGCCCGCCCCGCGTCCCGCACGGACCCGCCGCCCTCCGCGCGACCCCCGACCGGGGGGGGCCGCACCTGGACGCGGAAGGGCGGCCCCGGGCCCCCCCTTCCTCCTCTTCTTCTCCCGGCCTGGAGGAGCGGGGGACGCGTCCCCCCCGCTTGCACCGGAGAAGGGCCTCCCGGCTCGAGGATTATCGGCGCGGGGGCGGGTAGCGAGGAGCAGCGCGCCCGCCCCGGCCTCGGCGCGTCCCCTCCCGGCCGCGGGGCCCCGCGGGGCCGAGGGGCCGGAGCGCGGCGGCCGCCCCGGGCAGTGACGGGGGTCGCCCCGGGGGTCGCCTGCCTTGCCCCTCGCCCCCCGGCCGTCCCCCCAGACATGCCCCGCCGTGGCGGCCCGGCTCGCCGAGGATCATGACTGCGGCAGCGAACTGGGTGGCGAACGGGGCCAGCCTGGAGGACTGTCACTCCAACCTCTTCTCGCTGGTGAGTGAGTGGGCGGTGGGCGGGTGGGCGCCCGCGGGTGGCTCCGCGCCGGGTTTGCCGGTCGGGAGCAGCTGCCGGGGGTTTATAGGCAGGGCCCGGGGCTGCTCCTGCGCTGGCCCCTCCCCCGGCCCGGTCCCCGTGTTTATTTTGCTCCTTAGCGTGGTTTGCTGCGGGTCTGTGTATCGCGCTCGCAGCTGGAGAGCGGGGAGGGGACGCCTCTGTGTCCCCTGCACGACCATCTTCCCTGGGTAAACAGGCTCCTCTCCCCGCCTCCCTTGGCACTCCGTGCCCTGTGCGCTTTGTGCCACTGAACCGGGGGGTTTTCTCTCCTCTCACAATGACAAACGCCATTTCAGCAGCAACGAACGCTCATGTAGTGTGATCGACTGTCGGACTTAGCTCTGGGCTCCGGTGACGGCGTGTCAGCTGCTGTTACAGCCTGCTCTCCTCTTTGCACACATCGTGCTCGGGGGCAAGAGGTTAAAAAAAAAAACCAAACCTTTTAATTTTTTCTTCCCTGAAGAACAACAGCGTCTGACAGTAGTGTGCCGGATTGTTTGCATAGATGCCGTCTGCCTATCTCACTGGGAACTTCCGACGTGGATGGTGTGGTTTAATGTTGCAGAAATCATGATATCAGTTTTGGCTGGCTATAGCCCGGCAATTTAAATTTAAAATACGCAAACAATTTGTGTGTAACGGCAAAGTAATTTGGAAATACTTTGCTTTATTTTACCTGGCACGCACAGGAACACTATCCCTTCTGGCTGGGCAACAGCTGAGTGAGCGAGAGGGCTGCTGGATCGTCGGGAGCCTTGCAGTGCTACAGGAATAATGGAGGGGAGGAGGGACTTGTTCAGTGCGTGGTGTGGTGGAGTTAAAACCTTGTGATGCAACTTTGGGGGTAGCATGTGTGAAAGGATTGTGGTGGGTGCCCCCTCCCCGCAGCAGAGCTCTGCCAGAATTGGAGGTGGGTGCATATGTTCTTCTTCTGATAGAACGGAAGAGATTGTTTTTAGCTCCCTTATGAAAATAAGGAGAGGGAAAAAAAGGAAATTACTTAGAAATGCAAATGATCAAGCTCTTTGTTTTATGCTTTTTAACGTTATTGTAGTGTATTTGTTATTTTGTCTCAGGGTTTGTTTGTTGGTTTGTTTCTGTTTTTTTTTTTTTTTAATTTGGTGTTTATTTTGCTCGTACCTTTTAAGAATCTGGAACAAGACCTGTAGTCTTCCACTGCTAGAAAACTGCCCCGAGAGCTTGTTCTGTGAGAATGATACATTTCTAACTTTGGCTTTTTATCGAATTGTTACGTTATGTAAGTTTGTATCGGTGCTTCTGTTTGAAGGCATGTAGTAATATTTATAAATATGTAGCAGTGCTCTGTGTATCGAGATGCAGGAAGGGTGATTTGGGGGATTGTTATGGTGATTTTGACTACGGCTGCTCTTAGCCGGGGAGGAAAATAAATCGGGAAGCATGAAGGGAACAATCGTATCTGATTGTAGAAGGGAGGCAGTGGAGGGTTTGCTCCTCGCAGAGTTGTGAAGTCCCCGTTCATTAATGCAGACTGGAGTGTGTGTTTGGAGAGGCGGAACTTCTCCTGCAGTTGCAATCTGCAAATCTGTCACTGGTAAAAATAATTGTTGGCATGCAATTAGCATAAATTATAAAGTGAAGCTATTTCATAGTTATTGTGGTTTGGTTGCTTTTTTTCTCCCACCTGACTAGGCTAGGGAAATGTTCAATTTTAAATGGGTGTGTAATATCACTAAAATAAGTTAAACGAAATTCTTTTGCAAGTGGCTTTAATAATAATGAGTTTAATGTGCAACCCTTTAATCTCCCTTGTAATTTTGTGGGAGGTATCTGTGCCTTAATGTGGTGCTGTGTATGAAACTCTGTTTTTATTGTATTCTGGCTCCACAAAAATAAAAAAGGGGATTAAGTAGTAGTATATTTAAAATACAGCCGATGTGAAAACTGTTCAGAAGATTTATTTTATATTGTGTTAGGTTTTTTTAGGATGTATGTAGCAGAGAAAGATATTGAAAATGGAAACACTGACTGAAAATATGTGGCCAGCACCACTGACCCTTTAACCTCAGATTGTCATATTCATTTCAAAATTTATGAAGTGTTTAAGCTACAGTAGACTGGATTAGTAGTTAGGGAAACTTTTGTTAATCATTTACTTTTTCAGTGTAACAGAACAAAATCTAAACCACTAGCTGATGGGAATCCATTCATTCTTTAACAGCGTGGTGGATTACAAATATTTTGAAGATTGATTCTGCTATTAGAAGTTGGGGGTTTTTCAACTGCAGGCTTTGTTTTGTGTGTGAATCACAAATAAATGTTCGTGACTGGAGAATTACAGTTCTGAAATAATTATAGTCTATCATGATACTGTTTGTTCATGGTTAAATAATATTCCTTGCCACAGACATTTGTTTTGTGGAAGCAGGAACGCTGTCTCCCTGCCCTGGAGAAGCCAGAGCTCTGTGTCAGCTCTGTCTGGCTGCTGTGGTGGGTTTGGGTTGGTTTAACAATTCATGATTTCTATTTTTCTGTCAGCTGTAGACATGCTAGAGAGGTTAGGAACCTTTGCTGCTTCTGAATCTTTTGATGGGAAGTGTTTTCTTAAAGCTTTTAGTAACTGATTCTCTTTTATCAGTGATGTCCCGACACTGTGGAAGCCCTCAGTGGTGTGGGCTCAGCATGTGTCACCTGAGGGTCTGAAGAGAAGGCTTCAAAGTTACCTTTGGCTGTGCAGGTGCTGGGGGTGGTGCTGGGCTGGCATTCCATGGAATGTCCCTCTGGATTGCAGCACTTGGCAGCACCGAGTGTGTGTGGTGTTCTCCGGCAGCGCGGGGATCCAGCGCCGCCCTGGGAACGGGGCTCATGCTGGTGTGCTGTGGAACGTGGGTTGATGTGGGAGGCAGAGACCCAGCCAGCCCGCACACACATCCCCATCCTGCTCTGAGCGTGGAGCCTTTCCCAGGAAGGTGATGGAAGGGTCGGTTTGCATCTTTGTTATCAGAGTACCCCTCAAATAATAACTTGTTTAATCTGCTCAGTGTAAAGCCTTGCTCATTAAAAATACACTTTCTGTCTGAAATTGCTGTTCCTAGCACAGCAGTAGGACAAATGATATTTATCCTCACTCTGTTTTTGCTGTAGTCAAAATGTCTGCTGCTGCTTCTGAAAAGAATGTCTGTTTTGATAAACAGTATTTAATAAGCCATTGTATGGGCCAGTTTATTTAAATACTAATTAAGAGCTGTCTAATAACTATTTAGAGACAAAATGTTCTGAGGTAATATGCTTTGTATTAAAACTTCAGCCTCAGCTGGCAGCAGTCTTCCTGTGAATAATCCTTAATCATAAAAGTAGTCTTACTGAAATTAATTTGACTTTTCCTGTGAGTAAGGGTTACTCATATGACAGTGAGGGCTTTCATGAAGATGTTTCTTCAACTATCCAGGCTTTGGTGCCATGGTGGATCCAAAGGCACAACTCAGTCTTGAGAAATTGGGGTGAAGTTGCATAATGTTGGATATACTGGAGCAGGAGAGTGCGGCCAAGGGTGTCAGGAATGACCTGAAATTTGGAGGCGCTTTCATGGGGTAGAAAGATTTGGTACTGTAGGAATCTTCACGCTGGAAAAGACACAGTTGTGTTCTGGGGAAGTGAGACCAGGTTAGAGAAGCTGCTATGGAAGATGTCCCATGTTCTTGCAGAAGTGCACTCCTACAGAAGCCTGCTGCCAGAGGGTCCAGGCAGTGGGAATTGTGTTTGTTCTTGTTTAAAAGGCAAAGTTAAAAACAGTGAAGGCTGTCACTACTGTTGCTTTTTGCAGTTCACATCCAGGAACAGAAGTTGTCCCCTTTGATCAGTGAGTTTTGTTGATGTTTCCAGCATAAAATAAAAGGAATTAAAGCAATCAGGGGTGGCATTTGGCTTATTCTCCTAAAGGTTTTTCATGGCATCAGAAAGTGAAGGTTGCAGAGGCTGCTGTGAGCTATTCCTTGGTGTTGCATAATTGGCAGTAAAGGACTTCATAGTAAATGTTGATTGCTCAATGCCTTCAGTAGTAGTGAATTAACCAGTAGTCCTTGCTTGTTGTGTTTTCATAAATGCAGTGCTCCGAGCAGTGGGCTGGGATTTTGGCATGCTGAATGTTCAGCACTGCACAGTGTCTATCTTGCTTGTTTGGAATTTTAGGTAGGTGTGAATTTACATGCATAAATAATTAAGAAATGGAATTAACCTCTCAAGTTGTGCAAAAGTATTTGATTCTCTAGTTATCTTTGTCCTGAGTTTTATTAGGTAACAAGACAGAAGTAGAGAGATGACATTAGAAAGCTTGTTCACTTCTTGCTAATAAAAGATTATTTCAGGCTTTAAATCACTTCAGTGGTAGGTTTTTATTATGTCCTGTCAGAGTATTTGACAGTTTAATGGGACATGCCAGGGAGAGGATTTGAAGTGAACAGACCCAGATTTGCAAAGAGATTGGGACAGTGACGTTCAGCCAGTGTGCCCTGCTCCAGGAGTGGAATTGAGGGATCTGTTGGATAACCAACCTTTTGGGAATATTCCCCAAAAAATGGGGGGGTGCAGGAGTGACATTTGCAGCTCAGAATATGTGTGCCCAAGCTAATCACTAAGAAATATTTGAGTGAGATTTCCTTGAAATCCTGAGTATCTTGTGAATGTGCACATGTCCTGGGGCTGGAAATCCTTCCCCAGAGATTCTGTCCTGATTCTGGTGGCACTGAGAGTCCAGTTGTGTGACTGCTGTTGGGAACATCAGCACAAAAAAAGTAATACCCAAATATCAGGGTGAAGCATCAAAAAATATCCTAGGTAACTACACCTTAGGAACAAGAATTTTAATTTGGTGTAACACTATCTGGAAATAGATTTTTCTATTTTTCTACATTTTTAATACAGAATTGACATCATAACCCCAGTTCTCAAACACCCCCCCACCC